GACAGTTGCAGCACGCCAGTTGGTTGGAGTGCACCGAGTCTCGGATTTCAGCAAATGCTGAAAGCCCAGGGCCTCTGAGTTGGTTAGGCCCTGGGCATCTGAACGTGAGGCCGACAATGCATGATGGGAAGAGAGGCCGAAAATGCCAAAGGGAAATCGGCCCACTGTCTGAATCTGGCCGCAGGCCTTGATGAAGGAGGCGCAACTGCCTTACCCCGGGGCCCAACTGTATCGAGTTGGCTTCAGCCTCTGGGCCCCGGTCACAGGCTGAAGGRAGGCCGCCCACACACTGCACTGGCATATAGGCAAGCAGGGCGAGGCAGCGGGAACCTTGGCCAATGCTGGCATATGCGGGCACGCTGCGCAGATGCAAGTGTGCTGCGCTAATGCAGAGCAGCGCTGCGCTAAGAAGAAGCAGGGCAGCGCTAGGCGGTAGGGCGCTGCCTGCTTGCAGGGCACTGGCGGCCATAGCCAGGCCGCAAGAGGGTGCAGGGGAGGTGAGGGCGAAGGTGGTACTTCGGAGGTGAAGGGCGCTGTGTGGGTAACAAGGGAGAGTGTGGGGAAGATGACACGTACCTGGTGATGGTGGAGGTCTGCATTGGTGTTGACATTATCACTCGCTGGTAGTCAAGTTGTCTGGTTGCTGTTCATTGCTGTAGTTGTAGGATAGGCTGTAGAGTAGATAGGGYGCCTGGCRCCATTCACAAGAGAGAGCYACATTTGGGTTATGCTGTTGGTGTTGCCCTGGTGGGCATGGACATTGACTCACGATTCTTCTGTATCATTCTCAATGGGATGGTTACTCGGTTCCATGTGCTATCTGCTTTGGCTTTGAATACTTGGACTTCAGTGTGATTTTGCATTCTGGATTTCTGTGCTTCGTCCATACTCATGTTCCTTGCAATTTTAAATTTGGTAAAGAATTTCGATATGACCCTGAGGCAAAAGTTGTTCAGTTTATTTTTCTGCTTCGGCTTTTTTTTTTTTTTTTTTTTTTTTTTGGGCTGGGACCTTCCTTGGTCCTTGCACGGCCGGGCCGAAAGTAGGGTGACCCGGGCGGCCCGGCTGGTAGCCTAGGTATTTACTATTTACTACTTGCTATTTACTATTTAGTAATTACCTATCGAACTTCAACGTTTTGTTCTTTATGTTGTTGCAGCCTCAAAACGAAATTCTGAATCCTCTACAGAGGCTGGATTAAAATATTTCATTGTAGATGCCTTTTCCTCCGAGGTTTTCTTATTCGGTTGTTCTATGATTTATGGATTTACCGGAGGTAAAAATTTTGACGAACTAGCCAAAATTTTGACTGGTTATGAAATGACTGACTTGTTTGCTCGTTAAATTTGATGTAACGATTGTGACTGGATCCTGGAAGTTTTTTTAACTGTGAATGGATAAAAAGTATTAAAAACAGCAAAAGTTAAGAATCTATTGGCGGCGGTCTTCTTCTTCACCGTCCCAACTTACCTCCAACCTCCACGAGCTCCGCCACTTCTCCCTCTTGGCGGAGCAGCAGCATGACTGCTGGGTGAATGATGAATGGAGTGCTCATTAAAGTTATTAAACCGCATGATATACTCTGGCGCCCAGCCTCCAGCACCTCCTGGGCGGGCACTACCTGCGTCCATCCAGTCTTGCTTGGGTGCGTTCTATTTGAAGACAACACACGTGTGTTCTATTCGAATAGCCCGAATTTTCGAATACAACGCACATGCGTTCTATTCTAGGCTACCAGAGTGGCCCGGGGTCACTTGCCTGGCCGGGCCAAAAAAAAAAAAAAAAATAGAAATAAAAATAATATTTTCAAAATTATATTTTTTTATTTTAAATTCGGTGTAGAATTTCAATGTGGCCCTGAGGCAAAAGTTGTTCGATTTATTTTTCTGCATAACATAGTTTTTTCGGATTTTTTTTATTGCTTTTTTTTTTTTTTTTTTTTTTTTTGCTTGGACCTTCGCTGGTCCTTGCACGGGCTGGCCACCCGGGACCCGGGCGGCCCGGCTGGTAGCCTAGGTTCTATTCGAATTTTTGAAAATTTTTGGAATTTTTGGAATTTTTTATTTTTTTGATTTTTTTTGAATTTTTTGATTTTTTTTTAACTTTCAACTTTTTTAATTTTTTGAATTTTTTTTTTTTTTTTTTTTGAATGTTTTGATTTTTTTTGAATTTTTTGAATTTTTTGAAAACTCGAGTACAACGCATATGCGTTATGTTCGGGGGAAGAAGATAGGCCTACCTGGTGCTCCCTCCTTTTGGCGAGAACATCATTGCAGTCCGATACCAGCACACAGGCCCTGAACCTAGACTTACTACTGGCCTACATTCAAGCCGTGGACCACCATCACCTACTGTGACATCAACCAGACACTTCCAGGTGCAACCGACTTGCCGGAAAATCCCTACAGACCCTCTAACAAGTTCCACTTATGCCCCTGTCCGCCATGGCCTTCCACAAGTCCATTTAGCACCCAGTTTCAGTTCTGTCCATGCCATTCTATCTACTAGCTACTTTGTCCCTGTACGAGGCACAGCCGCACCTCACGACCAACAGAGAAAAGCACACGGATCTGGAATTGGACTCAGGTTGGCGGTGCACCACACACATACTTAGAAAACACACCAAAACAGACTCAGAATCAGACTGCAGAAATTCAGATAAGCTTTGTGCGCTACAATGTGCAGTCATTTCATTTGTCATCGTCGCGCAACTTGCGCTTGTGGTGGATATGATTTTGTGACGGGTCTGATTTTGTGGTTGTCGTCGGATTTTGTGGTTCGTCGGATTTACAGGTCATAATCCTCTCGGTATTTGGGTGCATGAAGATCATTCGTAAACGAAACAATGGCCGATCGGCAGGAGGTGTACCTATATTCTCCATGCATGTAAGTACCTTGTTGCGAATCTGCAACCCTGCCCACCTTCATACTCTGCCAACTTCTCATGCATGCATGCTTACTATCTACATTTTCGTTTCTTTTTCTTTCCTCTTTCTCCACGCCATCATGAGTTCATGCTACATCTCCTACAACAGTCTTACTCACAGGCAAGAAGTACTACTAACAAAATGAGGGAGAGAGGAGAGGGAGGGAGGGAGAGGGAGGGAGGGAGGAGAGGGAGAGAGGAGAGAGGGGGAACGAGGAGAGGGAAGTAGGAGAGGGAGGGAGGAGAGAGAGGCGATGGAAATGGAGAAAGAGAGGGAGGAAAAGGAGGGAGGAGAGGGAGAGAGGACGGGAGATGGAAGACGGGGGAGAGGAGGGAGAGAGGAACGGAGGAAGCAGAGGGAGGCAGGAGAGGGAGAGTGGGAGGAGAGCGAGGGAGGAGGGAGGAGAGGAGAGAGGGAGAGGGAGGGAGGAGAGAGAGGCAATGGAAATGGAGAAAGAGAGGGAGGACAAGGAGGGAGGAGAGGGAGAGAGGACGGGAGGAGATGGAAGAGGGGGGCGAGGAGGGAGGGAGGAACAGCGGAAACAGATGGAGGCAGGAGAGGGAGAGTGGCAGGAGAGCAAGGGAGCAGAGGAGGGAGGAGAGGAGAGAGGGAGAGGGAGGGAGGAGATAGAGGCGATGGAAATGGTGAAAGAGAGGGAGGAAAAGGAGGGAGGAGAGGGAGAGAGGACGGGAGGAGATGGAAGAGGGGGGAGAGGAGGGAGGGAGGAACGGAGGAAGCAGAGGGAGACTGGGAGGAGAGCGAGGGAGCAGAGGAGGGAGGAGAGGAGAGAGGGAGGGAGGAGAGGGAAGTAGGAGAGAGAGGGAGGGAGGAGAGGAACGTAGGAGAGGGAGGGAGGGAGGGAGATGGAAGTAGGAGCGGGAGGGAGGAGAGAGCAGCGATGGAGATGGAGAAAGAGAGGGAGGAGAGGGAGGGAGGAGAGGGAGAGGGTGGGAGGAAATGGAAGACAGGGGAGGGGAGGGGAGGGAGGGAGGAACGGCGGAAACAGAGGGAGGCAGGAGAGGGAGAGTGGGAGGAGAGCGAGGGAGCAGAGGAGGGAGGAGAGGGAAGTAGGAGAGAGACGGAGGGAGGAGAGGGAAGTAGGAGAGAGAGGGAGGGAGGAGAGGGAAATAGGAGAGAGAGGGAGGGAGGGAGGGAGAGGGAAGTAGGAGGGAGGGAGGAGAGAAGCGATGGAGATGGAGAAAGAGGGAGGAGAGGGAGGGAGGAGAGGGAGAGGGTGGGAGGAGATGGAAGACGGGAGGGGAGGGAGGGAGGAACGGAGGAACCAGAGGGAGGCAAGAGAGGGAGAGTGCGAGGAGAGTGAGGGAGAAGAGGAGGGAGGAGAGGGGAAAGGGAGGGAGGAGAAGGAAGTAGGAGAGAGGGAGGGAGGGAGAGGGAAGTAGGAGAGGGAGGGAGGAGAGAGAAGCGATGGAGATGGAGAAAGAGAGGGAGGAGAGGGAGAGGGTAGGAGTAGATGGAAGACAGGGGAGGGGAGGGGAGGGAGGGAGGGAGGAACGGAGGAGCAGAGGGAGGCTGGAGAGGGAGAGTGGGAGGAGAGCAAGGGAGCAGAGGGAGTGAGGAAAAGGAGGAGGAGGAGGAAGGGAAGGCAAATGGGAATGGATGTGAACTGGGATGGAACGGGAACTAGAATTGAAGTGCAATGGGTAATGGAAGTGGAACTGATGGGGGGGAGCAGAGGGAGGGAGGAAAGGGAGGAGTAGGAGGAAGGGAAGGCAAATGGGAATGGATGTGAACTGGGATGGAACGTGAACTAGAATCGCAGTGCAATTGGTAATGGAAGTGGAAATGATGGGAAATGGGAATGAGACGGGCATGTGATGGCGAGAAAGAAATGCGAGGGAAGACATCAAATGAGTTGGAGCTTGGAAATGTATTGTGAATTTGTTACTCTTGAGAGTGAAGGCGATGTTTCAGGATTCTCTCCGCCTTTTCCAAGACAACATAAACATAGAAATGTGCTTTAGAATTGAAATGGAAATGATGAAAAGACTCAAAAGAGACCAAAATGAATGAAATGCAAATGGAAAGGACAGCAAAGGAAAGCATGACCCCTTCGCAAGGATGACACACACAAATCGAGAAATGGTCCAAACTGTATTAAAAAAAAAAAAAGGACAGCAAAGGAAAGCAAAATGAACGAGATGCGAATGAGAAGGAGAGGAAAGGAAAGAAAAAGGAATGAAAAGAAAAGAAGGAAAAAAACGAAATAACAAAAAACGAATCCCCCTCCCAAAAAACATACAAAAAAGAAAATCAGAACCACCAATGAGACGAAGGGAGCGTCCAGTTTTTTTTTTTTTCGGGGGGGATGGGGGGGGAAGGGGGAGGCTCGGTGAGTGTCCAAGTCCTTTTGCAGTCTGGATCAAACGAGTACGGAAAGGTCTCAAGGGCACGAATGGCTGAAATGCTTTCAATCGGATAGCTTGTACATGTGCATGCGTTCGATCGGATCGCATGTACACGTGCGCACGCATGCGGAGCTCTTTGATTCTGGAAAATGTAGGGCTCAAACTGGACGTAATTGCAGTCAGATGCATGCAGTCGTGAAGTGGTGCGCTTCGATTCTGGAAAATGTTGGAGCACACTTCGCTACTGTGTGATGACTGAGGGCATTACTAACACACGGACATTTTTGGCTAATCTCTGGACATAATTGCAGTCAGATGCATGCAGTTGAAGCTGCAATTTCGGTCAGATACATCCTTGAAAGCCCTAGTGCGAGCATGCTCTCAGGTTTGTTCCAGTTGCTCTATTCTGTAGGCCAGACTGGATTCCAGATTCATACATAGGTGTCGTTGTGCATGTCCTTCGGGATATCCGTCAAAATTGGAACGATACCGAGAAGATAGATTAGCATGGCCCCTGCGCACAGATGCCGCACATCCTATTTGCTATACACTCAGAAAAAGCATGACTGTGCGAAACTAGTTCGTTGGACTTTCACCGACTCATCAGGAGGTTGAACCTGGACAGACAGTCTGCCCAGGATGCATTTGACTGAGTGACGGATAAGGACTCACCACATCGCCCAGAGTTAGCGATACCCCTCAGGGAGAAAAGTGGTCGACTATACTCTGTGTGTGTGTGTGTGTGTGTGTGTGTGTGTGTGTTTGTGTGTCATGACGTGGACGCGCCCTGCTCTCTGGAACGGTTGGTTAGCTCTCTGTATTTCGAGAAATGGAAAGGACAAGACTGACAGCACATGGCGTCAGCGGTTTTCCCTTGGTGTTTTTGCTAGGAAAAAAAAAGAGAACTTTCGTGAGGCGCGTGGTACAAAACACGAATGTATCTACAGCCAGAACGTAGAAAGTTTTACACTCGCCATGTTGTTGTCGTTTCATGTCCCGTACAGTTGTGATGACGGAGGGACCTTTGTTTGGGATGACGCCATGTCTGCGCATCACCCGTGAGCACACGGTGCACGGCGCACCGCACACCGCACAGGTGCACTGCAAGCATCATGAGATCTTTTTTTTCCTTTTTTTTTTCTTTCTTTTTTTTTTTGGTAACCCATCCAGCGATCTATAATGTTGCAGTGCGCTCCATTACTGCAAGGAATATGAGTGAGAACAATATACAGAAAACCGAGTTGCGAAATCATACAGATGTCCAAGTAGTCGTGTACCAAGCAGAGAGCATAAATGTGCCAAGATTCCATCCACATAAGAGCAATACAGTGAACTCATGAGCCAATGTTCATGCCCTCAGGTCACACCAACGCAGTATCCAATGTCGCTCCTACTGTATGGCGCCCAGCGCCCTTTCTACTCTACCTAGCCTATCCTACTACAGCCGCATTCACGCAACAGGCTCACTTCGACTTTGAAAACCAATGTACATGACGTCAACACCAATGACGACCTCCCTCATGCACCAGGTACGTATCTCGCCTCCCCTCGTCACCCCCTAACCACCCACACGCGCCTCCTTCCTGAAGACCACCGATTGTGCCCCTTACCCCCTTGCACCCTGCAGCCCAGCTATGGCTGCTCGCACACCGCTGCCCTGCAGCGCCCCTCTCACCTCCCAAGCGCCAGTATGTGCCCCTGGCCGCTAACGCAGCAAGCAGACACTTGCGCAGCAATGCACCAGCGTGACCTCATTGCCAGCGTGGGCCAGAATGCCAGACCCTGGCTGCCGTACTTCCTATATGGAAGTGGCAGCCTCTGTTTGGCTGCATGTGGGCCTGGCTGAGAAGCTTCCAGTAGCTTCCGGACGGGCCTCCGCCCAGGCCCATCTCTGCAGTTGAGGGCCTGGGCCCTTTACTGTTGGGCACGCCCAGGATTTCCAGACTTCCGCCGTTTGCTGCATTTGCACTGCGTCTGGGGTAGATACGTCGACAATGCTGCTTTCTCGTAGGCCCGTGGCCACTTCGTGACGTATCTGCCTGGCAATGTGTGTGCCCAGGCGCAACTGTATGGCGCAGCGCATGTTTTCTGGAAAGGGCAGAGAGGCTCACGTTTCCTTGTAACCAACTGGCGTGCTGCAACTGCCTGAGTACCCACAAATGTCAAATTTTGGCCTCTTGTGAATATTCAAGGACGCCCCTTTCTCTTAGGGCGGGCACAGGGCTTGCTGAGGGCCTCTGTGCAGAACATGTGCATGTTTGATAAGGACCCCGTGAGGGCTCATTCCTCGCATTCCATCCCCCTTAGCTTCGAAAGTCCGCTGAGATGCTGCATGCAGGTGCTTTCCCCTTAAGTCTTCGTTCTTACTCAGCCACGATCTGAGGAGCTGTCTTGACCAGTTCCTCTCTTGTGAACAAACGATCTTCCTTAGGATCCGTATGATGCCTGAACCGAACCCAGTATTCTCTCATAGGTTTAGGCGGTCTTCCCCAGCCAGCTGGCTTGGGAACAGGCATGTCTCTGTGTTCCAAAATACCGTCGACGTCCATGTGACCATCCATGGTTGGGGGCAGCATTGATCTCCTTGATGGGAATTGATGTGTCTCGGCGAAAGGTGCAAGCTTTGAGGCGTGAAATACAGGGTAAATGCGCAAGTAACCAGGGATTCTAATGACGTAGGAGGGGCCATCCAAATCACTACCCACAATATCTAAGACTTCCCAAGGACCGAAATACTGAGGCATTAATTTCTTAGAGATGTTGAATTCCTGTCCTAGATCACTGGCCTTTACCCAGACATGTTCCCCTACCTGAAATATGATTGTCGTCGATGCTTGTTCTCATAAGCAATCATTGCTTCTTGAGACTTCTTGACATGTTGGACAGCCTGCTGCAATAACTTCTCGTACTGGACACCAAATTCTATGGTTTCGGGAGTTGCAGCAGATCGATTTTCAGGCAGGAGAAAGTCTAGAGCAGATCGAGGCTTCCACCCCAAATGTAGCTGATTCGGACTGACGTCGGTGGTGCTGTGTACAACATTGTCATACAGACTGTCGATGAGAGGTAACTTCTCATCCCTGTCATCCTGGCTGGGCTTAATGTAATGCCTCAGCAGATGTTGCACCACACCACACGATTCATTTGTCCAGCCTGCCCGTTGGCTTAAGGATGATTCCCTGAAGTCATCGGGAGTTGACTGCCCATCTGTTCAGCAGCCTTTTTCCACATCTCGCTGGTGAACTTGACATCTTTGTCACTAACAATCGTTTTAGGTAGTCCAAAATCACGCACCCAGTTATCCATAAACAACTTGATGACGTGCTCAGTCCTTGCTGTCTCTGGCATGGCAATAGTCTAGCGAGGTAGTCCAAAATCACGCACCCAGTTATCCATAAACAACTTGATGACATGCTCAGTCCTTTCTGTCTCTGGCATAGCGATTAGTCTAGCGTACTTAGTGAATCTATCACCTATGACGAAGATGTGCCCCTTGCCACTCCTGATGGTCACGAGGGTGTCCATGAAATCCATGGAAATGCTCTGTTCCGGACGAGCGGGAATGGGCAAGGGCTTGAGTAACCCAAGCGGAGCTTGAGTTCGCGGTTTGTCCCACTGACAGACTTGACAAGTTTGTACGTACTTCTTTGCATCGTCAAGCATGGTAGGCCACCAAAATCGCTGTACTCAGTTCGCAGAAGTCTTCTTGTAGCCAAAATGTCCCCTTGCATCGTGGCACTCTCCTAAAAATAAACTATGCAAAATCTCTCTAGATGGAACAACTAATCTCTTAAATCCTGCCTTCTCAAGAAAGAGTAACCCATCCACCGTCACAAACTCATCAGTTGTGGCCTTATGTTGGGCCTCTAGTTTGCGCATGGTGTCCATCGTGACAGGGTCTTCCTTGTAGGCTTCCACTAAGGATCGAGTTACATTGTCAGATAAGCCAAACTCGGTAATCAGCGCACCTAGGTAGTCTGCCCTACGTGACAGCGCACCGGCGACCTTGTTATACTCTCCTTTCACATAGTCTAGCTTGAAGTCATACTGATCCATGACTTCAATCCAGCGTTTGAGTGCATCAGAGAGAACAGGTTGTGTCTTGATCCACTTGAGTGTCTGATGGTCAGCTCTCAGATAGAAGAACCTTCCCAATAGATAGTGTCTCTAATGGACAAGTGCCTTATAGAGGGCGTAGAGTTCCCTTTCGTAGGTGGACTTCACCAACTTCTTTGATCGCATCTTCTTGCTCATGTACTCAATGGGCCTCAACTTCTTCCCTTCCTGTTGAGCCAGCACTGCGCCAATGCCATATTGGCTTGCGTCAGTGGTCACAACAAATGGCCTTTCACGATCAGGGACCATGAGAATCTCATGATGTGTGAGGGCATACTTCAATCTTTTGAAAGCAGCCTCACATGCGTTTGTCCATTCCCATAGAGTGTCAAGGCGCGTTAGATCAGTCGGGGGGGAGGCAATCGTGCTATAGTTCTTTACAAAATTGCGACAATAACCACACATCCCCAAGAATGGTTTGACCTCAGACACAGACTAGGATCGTCGCCAGTCTCGAATGCTAGCCACCTTCGCATCTTCAGGCCTAATTCCCTCCGCGGAAACTTCATGACCCAGATACAAGATTCTAGTGCGACCAAACTCACATTTCTCTAAGTTTATCTTATACTTGTGTTGTCGGAGGAGAGAAAGTACTTTGTCTACATGCTGAGCACGTTCCTCAACAGTCCTACTAAAGATAAGGATGTCGTCGAGCTACACGACGATAAACTTATCTAAGTAGTCATGAAAGATCCTATTCATGGCATGCTGGAATGTACCCTGCTCATTGCAAAGGGCATCACCACAAACTCGTACAGACCAGTAAACTTGAAAATAAAGGTAAATAATAAATATCAAATACAGTTGTCCTTCGGGACATCCGTTAAAATTGGAACGATACAGAGAAGATTAGCATGGCCCCTGCGCAAGGATGACACGCATAAATCGAGAAATGGTCCAAATTTGTTAAAAAAAATATTAAAAAAAAATCAAATACTGTTCAAGGCTTTAGCAGTTCAGAATTTAAACGACTGAAGGGACTGTCATAGGCCTAGTATCCAGCCTCTACAACAGCCTGGACTCCATTTTTTTTATTTTTATTTTTAATCATTTTTTTTAATGAAATTATTCAAATTAATTTAATAATATTAATTTGCTAATTTCAGTGGAATTGGGATGTACCAATTTGAGGATTTGGGGGCCAAATTGATTTTACTTATGTAGTGAGTTTTGGCATCAATTTCGGCCAGTAACATATCAAATAGAGAAAGCTGAAAATACTAAAATAGTTTATTATTGAAGAGGTGTTGATGATATCTGTATATGACGATGATGATGTGAAAGGGACGCCGGACCCGATTTCCAGCATATCAGTGCAGCTCCCCACCAATAGATTGGAGCCAGCAGAAGGGCTGCTACCTTCTTCCCCTGAACATAACACATATGCGTTGTATTCGAGTTTTTCAGAAAATTAAAAAAGATCGAATAGAAAGCGCATGTGTTGTATTCAAACATTCAGACTATTCGAATAGAACACATCTGCGTTGTATTCGAATAGAATGCACCCTGCTGCGTTGTATTCATTTACAACGCATATGCGTTATGTTCGGGGGAAGAAGGTGGTGGGGGCTCGTATCACCACCACTGCGGTAGCAGAGCACCAACTGGCGTTATTTTCCCAAAAAAGAAATAAAAAAATTAACACTTGATTTTTTTCTGGAACTGGAAGTCGAAGTCTTTGTTAATTTGCATCTCTGCTGCTTTGCAACACTTCTTCTGTATTAATTTACTTTTGCATTATATTAAGTATTATCAACTTTTATGAACTTTTATCGTTGAATTAAATTTTAAAAAAATAATAATAATATTCACAACCGTCGGCTGACATTTCCGCATGCATCCCTACCATTGCAGGTTGGCATTTCTGGAGTTGTGTCAGATTCGGTCATGAAACGCACAGACGAAGTGGATGCGTCCAGCATGCACAAGTGGGAATCCAGTACCTTCTCGTTCCCCTTGACAGTCCCCGAGCTAGCGGTTTTTCGGATGGAACTACATTATCGAACAGACTCCTCCAGCGACCGATTTGCCGGTCAGAATTCATTTCCGGTGTCGGAGCTGCGAAATGGATATCGGGCGACCACCCTGTTGAATGAAAACCTGACACCGATCAACCATGTCCAAACCTTGTTGATAGCCCAACTCCTCCCCTCATCTGAGCCAGCAGTTGCGCGAGCTTTTTCGTCGGCGTCGGCGTCGGCGTTGGCGCTCGCATCGGCGTCGGCGTCGGCAACTGCACCGGCGCTTGCGTCAGCATCTGGGGCATCATCGTCTCAGACGGCGTCTCCACTGGGAACTACATCACTCGTTGTTGGACCAACCCAACCCTCACCAACAATGGCAACCGCATCGGCGGTGGTGTCGGGGTCAGCGTCGACGTCGGAAATTGTGGCCCCTGTTATGCCAGCCCAACTATCGATTCCCCCGCCTTCCTCCGAGCTGCCCCCCGGGCAGGAGGATATACCATCATTGATATAACAGAAGGTAGGAGGAGGTAGGAGGAGGATTGAACTGTAAATCTGAGTTGTTGATTGTCCGAGACCTTGCTCAACCGTCGCTGATCGCAATTGAAAAGCGTTATTGGTATTTTGCTTATCCTTGTCAACGCTGTGCCCCAGTTGATATACCCGTCTGGACGAAGTGGGCATCAATCCTGACGAGTCGGTGAAACTCCGACGAAACAGTTTGTCACAGCCCCTCGTTTGTTGTCYTCTTCTCYCTCTCTGCCTACGGTTTACCGGGCAGTTCTGTTTGTGACGATATATATATATACATATATATCATCGAGCAGGAGAGAGCGAGAGAGAGTGAGAGAGAGAGAGAGAGAGAGAGAGAGAGAGAGAGAGAGAGAGAGAGAGAGAGAGAGAGAGAGAGGGGGGGGGGGGGGGGGTAACGACGAGAAATAGATGTATTTGCGTGCGTAGGATGCAGGGCAGGACATGATGGGGTAATAGGAAAAAGGTGCTGATGAGTTTTCCACAGCACTTACGAAGTTTTGTGTCCGCTCCGCTTTTGAAACTTAAAGGGGATTTATAAGTATGTAGTAGGCAGTTGGCTGCCGTATTAGCCCCATAATATGGTGATTATTCGATTTGTCAAATAAGTCCATTTGATTCAGAATGTCGAGTCTTACTGTGTTACGATCACTTTATTTCGGTAGGGACGGAAGAGGAGGTCGCTGGCTAGTCAAGCACACAATTGATTGCCCTTTTTGCGGTGGCAGCGAATGTTTCAAATCATCTGCACAATTCTGCAGCTTGTAACAAGCGACTTCCGTCCATGGATGCGTAGGCGCAAGAGCCCATGGCCGCAATCAATTTCCGCCTCGTGATTGCGCAGAGAGCCTCAGATGGTGCCGCTTGCTCACCTGGGTTCCGTTCGAACAATTGATTTTCCTTGTGGGGGGTTGTTGATTTGTGGTAGCGGTGAATCTTCGTGTCGTCTGTAGCCCGTAATATGCGACTTCAGTCCGTGGATGCATAGGCGCAAGCAGAGCCTGTGAGCTCAACCAAACTTCCGCCTCGTGATTGCGCAGAGCGTCATAGGGCGCTGCTTGCCCACGCGAGTTCACCGCAGTGTGTACGCATTATTTTTACAACTTACGGTAATTTACGGTAAGTTACGGTCATGGGTGAGAGTGGAGGAATTGCAAAGAGGTTCTTTTATGTACTTGCGGTAAGTTACGGTAAGTTACGGTAAGTTACGGTAAGTTACCATTCTATATTTATGGTAATTTATGGTAAGTTACGGTAATTTACGGTAAGTTACGGTAAGTTACGGTAATTTACGGTAAGTTACGGTCAGTTACCATTCTATATTTACTATTTACTATTTAGTATTAGGCAACTTACCGCTGAGCGCTGAGCGCCGAGTGCTGAGAGTGTTCACTCTGACCAAGCGTGTTGTGCCATCTTAATTTGTTTATAACTTTATAGAACGTCGCAAGTACGCGGGGTATTGTTAGCGACGTAGGGGGTGCCATATTAATTTGTTTATAACTTCATAGAACGTCGCAAGTACGCGGGGTATTGTTAGCGATGTAGGGGGTACTCACACGAGGACCCTCCTGGATGCATCCTGGATGCATCTGACCACGTTTACACCCGGTTCTGGACGCACCTGACCGCCATTCCGTCCGAAGAGAAGTTGGAAATGTCGGAGTGTGACTATGCCCTTCGCATGCATCCGTGTCTTTTCGTTTTCCTTCTCTCTTTTCTCCTTTTGAAAAGGGGGTGGCTGTTCATTGGAGGTATCATGCCACGTAATAAGATTTGTCGCGGTATCAAATCAATTGTCTCTGGCTGCATCCGATGTGCCATATTGTGGAGAAACCATGTAATAGAGACTAATATACACTAACACCGGTGGGGGCTTTTATTTAAAAAAAAAAAAAAAAAAAAAAAAAACACCTTAAAAAAAGACTAAGATACAAGTCTAATAGTAACAACACCCTATTAGACATAAATTGCCATTAAACCGCCACCCGCTTGAAAAACAACACAAATAGGCGGCTCGTATACGGTGCCCCGCCGCTTTCGGGGGTCGGGGACCAAGATGGCTGGCAGTGCCACGAGCCAAAATGAGCCCCGAGCCGGTTGGTTTCTTTTTGGGGCGCAGGGCATTTTCAGGCTCGGCTTCAATAGCTCGGCGAGGTAATGGTGGTTTAAGAATTCACAACCTTTTTTTTTTCTTTTTTTTTTCTTTTTTTTTTGAATTCACAAGTTCTCACAACCCTATTAAGTTGTGGAGCACATTGGCCAAGGTTGGCGGGGCACAGGTCAGTTGGTCATTTGAATCAGTTTTTTTAACCTTTAATTCTTGTGAAGTGTTTGGAGTTGAGCTTTGAATTTGAGCTCAGAGATGACGGTATGGCTGGTATGGCATTTCAGGTGGGCATGAGATGTTTCATCGATGAAATTTGAGCAACCGATCGCAACCGATCGATCAATGCGTTTCAGACAGTTGGAGTATGTTATGCAGGAGCCCACCTGATGAGACATACAGCTGGGAACAAGGGGTCCTAGGGCAGAGCTAGGGCGGTCCTAGGGGGAGAGCGGGGGGGGTCCTAGGCGGCAGTTCTTACCTCAAGTTTTCAGTCCTGAGGGGTCCTAGGGGGGTCCTGGGCTCATGTACTCACTCCAAGGGGGGTCTAGAGGGGTCCTTCCAGTCCACGGGGGTCCTAGGGCGGTCCTAGGGGGGTCCTTAGCTCATGTATTCACTCCGGGGGGGGGGGAAGTCCTGGGGGGTCCTTGCCTCATGTATTCACTCCAGCAGGCTCCATGGTTTTACCCCCTAAGGCATTGCACTGATGAACTGTGGTTGACTTTCAACTGCCCACTAGGAGAAGGAGGAGATGGAGATATAGGAGGAGGGGGAGGC